TTAATATAAAATAGCATCAGAAGAGCTCGATTTATTCTCGCTATTTCCCAATCTCCATACTGGTCTGCTCTCGAGTATCATAATCATCATTATCATTATCTCAAACGGAATTCAAATTAGGGTGGCAAAAGGCTTGCTTAATGATCGTCAACACGGGATTCAATTTAATATTGCAATGTCTATAAAGATGTATATTATGCCAAAATGGATATATTTAAGAGATTTTAGCTAAATTTAATCACTTTATTTGGACCAGTGAAAGATTATGGCTGTTTAACTAAGTGTATATACTCTTGCTTAATCGCGAAGGCTTAGAAATATCGTTATATTTGATGCTGGTAACCTTCCCGTTGTAAAAAACGACTCACTCCAGTTAGGCGCCCCAAATACTTTGTCAAAACCCCTTTTGCATGAGAGTCACTGGCTTCAAAGACGAATAAATCTGATAATTATTGTAATGGTGACCCCTGCTCTCCGTGAAATTAAGAACGACTTTAGATTTACTGTTTGCAGCGCAATAACAAATTGCCTTTCAAGTTGGCAGCCAAATAAGCAGACAGACCGGTAGACAGACGTAGATAGAGATGTACAGATTTACGGAAAAACGTGCCTATATAGACAAACCGGCAAAAGGGGGAGACAGGTCGGCGAATGGACAGACAAACAGGTACCACTAGTAGCATAATTCCCAATAGCATTATCCAGAATTGGGTTAGTGAAGTAAAGAGACAAAAGTCGATCCTTAAGAGGTATTTAGTGGGTCAGGGGAGCAGCCGGTTTATCCCATCGGAAACTGGTTGCATCGGGTTACACTAACAAGGCCAGTCAGCTTTCAGTGGAGCGGCAGTGAAATCGGAGAGGCCTTGTTAGCCGTCCGAAAATATTACATTTGCACAGTACAGACTGAACTGGGCAAGCCAGTAGACAAGTTTAAAGTCGGGTTAACCGAGCGAATATTTGCTTAAGAAGTGAAGCAGTCGTCTGTATTTAGGCATACTTTCCGGGTAGCCTGACCAGCTGTTGTCTGTTGTCAGGCCGAGTGCCCAAATCGCCCATGTTCAAGAAAAATCTTGTAAAGGGAGTCTCTAGAATTGGAGCATCAGGCCGGTCAAATAGCACAAAACTGAGCGCCCTCATTTCCACGTTCCCAGTATCCTCATCTGACGACTAAGATTTCTTTATCACTACAGCCCAGAGCACCCCCGTATTTGACGCGCTTTGCTTGACGGTGAAAAATCTTCAAATAATTATTTTCATCACATTGACACACTATGGCGCTGTGTATGTTTGCTTGAGAATGGATGATGCTAATGGTTGCTAAACTCTACAGGTTTAAGCAAAATGACGCGTAGTCTATTTATTATAAGGGCTGGATATAATTGTGCTAGTGCTCTCTCTCTCTTTATATATATATTACATCTATCTACCCATTCATCTACCTACCTATACCTAGCTAACTATAAATCCATGCATATATATCCATCTATTTATAAGTCTATATATCTATCCATCTATAATCTATCTATCTATCTATTTACCTTTATACCGGTATATACATTCATCGTTTTATCTATCCATGTAATATATATATATATATCGATATATTTACGTATTTGTCTACGTATATATCTAACTAACTATCTGCCTGGCTATCTATTTATCTAGCTATAGACCTGTGTAATGATAAAACTCCCATTTCAACCAAAATGCATGCCAGAAATTAGTTGATTTGGGAAGATGGGAGGTATGGTCTCACCATAACCAGCTACCTAAGATTCAGACACCCACGTATCGCTGAGATTAAGAAACATTAAGTAACGTCAGTCGGGGTTTTGTTTTCCTTAGATCACCGTGGACGGTGAGAAACAAGTGTAGGCTGTAGACAATTGCGGTTTCCAAAAGATGGAGATTTTAGCTTGACTCAGGTGCAACTTGGCGATCTACTAAGATTTGCCCGAATTGAGGGGAGTTAAACGGCACCATAGATTTCTAATGTCGTGACGACCGGTTGCAAATCCAGAGGATAAACTTAAAATAGTAATTTCCGACATGACCTGTAAGCCAACATTACTAGAATAAAAGCACAAATCGAGAGTAGTTTGGAAATAATTTAATCTTTAACATGAATAAATCCCTTTTAGTGACACATTTTTACTATCTTCTAAAGCAATTTCTGCCTTTAACAAATTTAGGCAATAGCATGGCTCTTCCGGCCTTACTTACCGGAGTGCTTGCGGAAGTGGATGCGCAATGCGCTGCTGCAGGTGAACTGTTTGTTGCAGAAGGAGCATCGCTTGCTTCCGTCGCCTGGGGGGACAAGTAATCCGATGGGGAGGCCGTCTTTCTCCTGGCCTGTCGATTGTGATGGAGGCTGTGGTTGCGTGCTCGGTGGTGCTATTGTTGGTGCTTGTGTTGCGGATGCGCAAAGTGGCGTCGGCAGAGTGTTTGTTGCCAACGCGAGAGTGGCAGTCGATTTGGACTGCGACTTGTCGACGCGTTGGTCCCTACAACGTGTCGGCGACTGTTGTTGCCCAGGTTGACTGACAAGACCGGCCAAGAGACCCAAAGGAGGCGAGACTCGGTCCAGGGGAGGCTTTGTCTCGACGGTTGTCAGGCTCGGGAAAGTGACCATGTCTGGTTGTATAGATTCAGCCGTGAACCCGTTTGTGGTATCATCGGATCCTCGTGGACCGGTATTGCGAGGCGAGCAGATGGGCAGCCGGCGAAAGGTGTCGGAGGATTGTGACGTCGCTGTTTCATAGTCGTCCGTGAAGCCGGACTGGCCGACGCTAGCAGCAGCCTGAGCCGAGCTGGGCTCGAGACCGGCCGGCAGGCGTGGCCAACCGCCAGTTCGGAATCTACAGTCGAGCAGGGCGGATGCTACGTCTGAGGCAAGGCTGTCTGAGGCGATTGAGGCAACGGGATCAAGCGGTGTCGTAGTCGCAGTCATGGACACGGGCAGAGGCGGACATTCGGACATTTCGGGACAGGCCATCTTGTGTGCTGACGCCAGGGCAGCCAAAAGTTGGTTAAGGAGGACAGACGTTCTGGGAACGGACTGACAATTGCCGCCTCCTCCAGACAATTTGCCGCTGAGCAAATCGAGGACGGCTCCGTCGGCAGACACGAAGGATGAGGCAGATGAAGAAGAGGACGATGATGATGAAGAGGATGAGGAAGAGGAGGAAGAAGAGGACGAGGAAGAGGAGGAAGAAGAGGCAGAAGACGGCGGTGATGATGCATACGAGCTAAGTGGCAGACCAGAGATGCTGGTAAATGGAGCAACATTGGGCGCGGGAAAGCCGAGACAGCGTGCATACGCGGCAGCTTCGGCATTCTGTACCAATCCCTGTCCCTTTGAGGGGAGACCCAAGCTGTCGCCTTGGCAGCCTAGCCCACTGGAGGTACAGGTGGTTGGCAGGCCTAGGGAATTGGACATTTCCAGACCGGACGCAGGGAATTGGGGTGCCTGAATCGAACTAGGTCGGTGCTGTGCATCATTACGGTCCTCAGTCGAAGAGGAGGAGGAGGAGGCTGAAGAGGCGGAGGAGGCGGAGGAGGCGGAGGAGGCGGAGGAGGCGGAGGAGGCGGAGGAGGCGGAAGGGGCGGAGGAAGAGGAGATCGAGGCGGCAGAAGAGGAAGACGAAGGCATGTGAGAATAGACAGTCGAGAAAAGTCCAATTGGAAGCGGTGATGCCGAATGACTGGGAAGGGTCTGGAAGAGGGCACTCGGTAATCCGGCTAATGGGGTCGTGGGATGAACGGGTGGGGATCCGGGCGGCATCATACTCGACGGTATGGAGACGCCTGAGCCGGCATAGGGCGCGGCCGGTTGACAATGCTGGCCGGTCGTGAGGCTTGTATCGGCCTCGGTGCCAGGAAGAGTGGTTTGTGGTGGAGCAAAGGAGGTCGAGGTGGTTGTCGGTGAGCCGGGCAGTCGTTTGGAGCTCGGGGCCGACAGAGCTGGGCAGACGGGCGATGTAATCAGAGGAAAGTTGCAACCGGACAGAGCGTAGAGATCAGGCCGAGCCAGCAGTACTGAAGAGAGGTTGGTGTGGGAGAGAGGCAGGGCGAAAAGAAAACGGTTCTGGATATGTTTTTTGTGTAGAAGCACCATAGCAACTGGCCTCTAATGTAATCAAGTTGTCATTCACAAAGGAGATAATAAGCTTCATCGAAAAAGAGTTTGTTCTCTCTTCTCCTCCATGTTTTAATATGGCGAGAGAGCATTTTCAATTTTAGAGAGGTGATATTCGTGAGGGAAAATAATAATTATGGCGATGGAATGCCCACTTCCTATTCAAACCATGTTCTAAGCTCAATTTGAAAACAATACGGGGCGAAGTTCACGAATTCGTAGATTGTATTGAGAAATCGAGCTGACGTTGAGTTGGTGTGGGAGTGTGTGGTGAAGAGTCTTAGGTCGATCCCACGCTCCGATCTGCTTTTGTTACAGTTTGTTCAGGCACATTTCAGCGATCACAGTACTCAAGCCATGCTCCGGTTTTACGAATGACATGGCAAACATTAGTCTGTATAATAAACTTTAATAAATCCCCTAAAGTATGGAACTGTTTCTCGTAATACCTTTACATTGCGATCTCGATAAAGTAAAAAAATAGCCTTAATCGAAATCCGCTCACATCTTCCGGTGAGATTGACCCCCAAATCTTTTCATTGCTAAATTTCATATGAAATGGGAGTTAATATAACAAATAGTATATCAGAAGATATATAGAAAACCCGTTGCTCTTTTCTTGCAACCGGGGACGGCAATAGCGTGTGATTTTACTACGATGACCATGTTGGCTTAGTCGACATGGCATCTTCCTATGGCTCAGGCGAAAAGAATACAAACTTATGTCATTCTACTTGGCAATAAGCATCAGAACTGAATTTCCTTTCTGTAAACACTCAGACTGATGTAAATCAGATCCAGGACTATTTGTAGGCATTATGGGATGGACAAAAGTTCAGCTCATTTTCACTCGAAACGTAGGCAGCTATCTCGTCGTCTGCGTTAATCTTAACGCCATGTTAAAATGAAACGACTCTAGATTAAAATGGATTACACACAAACTGAGCCTCATCAAAGCAATTCTACATTGCATATACGAGCAAAAAGTGGGTTTCGATTAATCTTTTTAAATAACAATTTTGTTTAGACTTTCATTTCGTAGGACAATACATGATGAGTAGATTCGTAAGTCAATCTGACAAGAAGACGATGGCTGATTTGCGTTGTACTGCAGTCGTGTGGATTTACTACGCGAAGAAAAGTTAGGTTTCGAGGACTCTCTTGTTTCATAATTGTTAACCTTACTTCTATTTCGAGTGAAATTGTTTGGTGAAGATATTCGAAGGTCGATCCCACCAGAAGACGATGGTGATTTCGTCTTGACCAGCTATCAAACGGGAACATTCTTTTTGACGCTATTTCCGAGGTTAAAACGGGCTAAGCTTTCGTCTGTCGTACCTCATCAGAGCAAGGTATCAACTAAATTCAGGCTATGAGTCAAGAAAACTTGACTCGACAAGAATGTTCCAGTTAAGCCTTTCAAGAGGAATCCTCCTTCGTCTCTGGATTTAATGAAGTTTGCAAAAATGAGTCCCAGCTCTGATGCTGTTCGTCATATGACGGCCGAAAGCCCTGTCCGTTCCAACCGAAAACGACAGAGGCTGTCTTGTGTACCACGTCAACCTGAACGTGGCATTAAGACTAAACGGCTGCAGTACAACTGTAATCAGCCGTCGTCTTCTGGTCAGATTGACCTTCGAATTTCTTCTTCGTGCACTTTCATGTAAGTTTCCACAACAAACAATTGACCACCAGCACAGTCTGACAACATTCACAATTCGTACACACAATTACTATTCGGTGAGTGAGTATAAAGTCCTCTATGCATGTGGTAGAATTTAGAGCCACTTCTCTAAAGAGGTACATCCTCTTTTGTTGACATATCGGCTAACTGACGGTCGATCAATTCCTGGGAGCTCTCCTGGTCATCCCACTCAAGTACAAGGGATACGGGAACCTCAGTTACACTTAAGGCCTCATGTACGATAGGAAAAAAGGCTCATCATTTGTGCAACAACGGCAAAAGCGATAGCACAAAGTGAAACTAGCTCAATATTGGGTTTGATTACAAGAGAGCCGGCAAGCCCAGATTGCCCGACGTCTCGCTACTTACATTTCTACCCCAAGTGACGAGAACAAATAACTATTGCTAATTTTACTACTAATGTAACTATGTTTACGCAGCTGGACGAAATCAATATTATCTGTATCCAGCCAATTCGTGTGAGTTTATCAAGGCATCCTAGCTAAGATTTACTCCGGATGTGCCTTCGTCACATAACCTCTTTAAACCAAAATCCT